GTCTGCTGAGGATATAGCCTGAATTGCCTGGTGCAGTGATCCAAAATCTCTTCCCAAAGGATGGGAATATGAGCCCTGGGAGGGCTGTACACAAAGCACAGATTCAACCACACTGAGTAGGGAGTGGATGGCAACATTTCCAAATACTCTTTACCAGGGACCCCCGTGACTGAGAGCAGGTTAATAGAGTCCTGCAAAGAGTAGTTTGGCCATGGCTAGACCGGCTTTGGGGTGATGGATGGACAAGGTGACCTCCAAGTTCTTCTAGGTCCACTTAAAGTTTTCAGTGATTCAACTTGCAGATAAGCAGGGTTGCCTTCACTCATAGGTTGGACTGACCACGCTGCATGTGTCCTTGCTGATTCACCTTCAGTGTCCCCCTTTTTCACCTCCTGTTCCTCATCTGTCCCCCCTCCATTGGAGAAGGTCTCACTTCCCCTCCTGCGCCCTTCCCCTCAAACCCTACTGCCAACATTGATGCTGAAGGAAACCATTAACCAAGCCAAAAACACAGTGGCTCACCCCCATGAAAATTTTTACTACTATTTCTCCTTGCTCCTCTCTTTTACTTATCCAGGTATCTTCCTCACTCTCATTTATTAGGTCTTCCAACCCTCATTTCAGAAGGTGGTTTATGCCCTGTAACCTGTCTCTCCTTGTTGCTTTCATGAAGCCACAGAGCAACGACAGCTTTATGAACAGGAATACCAGATGAAGCAGACCATTATTTGCCGTGGCAGCACTGTAAGAGACACTGTCCCTCATGGCTGGCAGCAGGTCTCAAGTGTCAAATTTGCATTTAAATAGCCATATGCTTCCCAATAAAGCTATCCTGGAGTTGGAGTAGAGAGTCATTAAAGCACATTACAGCAAGACACAAGATAGGCTCAGCCAAGCATCTTTTCTGGCCTAAAAAAAAAAGCATACAGAAGTGCAGAAAGGAACAGAGCTCCTGCAAACAGCACTCTCCCCAAAACCCACCTCTGTCCCAGCCTCTTATATTGGGGGTTCATATAGCAAGAGGATTTCTGCGTGCCAAGAACTTTGAATCCCAGCCTCTTATATTGGGGGTTCATATAGCAAGAGGATTTCTGTGTGCCAAGAACTTTGAAAATGCTTCCGATCCCAATGTTTCCCCAATAATAAAACTACAGCATGCGCATGCTTCCCTCTGTGCCACCCCCAGACACACGCCTGCCAAAAGCATCACTTCTGTCAGTCTCTCAGAGGATCCCCCCCCTCTTCCCTCTTAAGGAAGACCATTACACTAGACTAGTGATACTGCTGGTAGACAGAAATAAGCAAGTTGGACACTCTACCTCCTCCACAGCCTCCTCCCCATCACCCAAATCCACATCATTCATCAGCCACAAACTCCTGGCTTGACAACTGTCCCATCCACTATGTCCAGGAATAAAGCTCCCATGCAAGATCTGGAGTAAAATCCTTGGGCTTAACATGCACACAATCCGTATCCAGGCTCTACTCAAGGATTCAAAGAGCCATAACAAAAGAGAACGAGGGGAATCAAATATGCTGCTTGGAAACAAGGGGAAAGAAAGAAAAGAGAGTTCCTCTGAATTCTTTGTTCACAATATCACCAAAAGTTTCCTCAGCTTCAGTGAATTTTAGTTTTTTTTTTTGGCTCTGATGTCCCTTCAAGTTTCCCTCTGTCAGGTCTCCACTTGATGTGCAAATGACAGTTTTAAAATGCTGTCTCCATGGTAGTTACGAATGAGATCAGCCCTCTGTAGAACTATAGAAGAAAACAATTGCTACACAGTCTTGTATTTATAGATCTTCTCCAAAGGGGACACGTGGCAGGCTCATGAACTACAGCATCTTCCACATCCTTTGTTAACCAAGGTCAAGCTTTCCTTCTGTTGCTGCACATAGCTCTAACCTTGCATACTGAAGATTTGAAGTATAGCTAAATGTAGACACCCAAAAGGGAAATGCCCAAAGCAATAAACTAAAAAATATTTACTTCAAGAGGCACAAAGCCCTTTCACTGACAAGAACCTCATTGCATATTCAGGGCAGGAAGTCTTGCAGATAAAGGGTAAAAGCCTGCAGTAATAAACGCCAAGCTATGATTTTGCCTCATCTTTCTTAAGCCCATTTCAATCCCAGGAAAGTCCCCTAAGTCTTTACAAGTTTAGAGGCCAACTCCTCACATTTACATAGGTTAAGCCCCAAAATCACTGTCACCATTAGCCCCTATTTTAATCAGGGGCTCAATTTGGTTTTTATATGGGTAGGTACATCCGCTCCTAGACCTTGAACATGATGTATAAGCCACAGGCAGGGTGCGCTACGTTCATCTGTAGGTTTCTGCTACCTCTTAAGTCATCTCTGGCAGATGTTCAGCAGCCTTTAGCAACGTCCTGCACATCTAGGTTAAGAAATGAAGAACATCTTGACAAATTCAGGTTTCAGGCGCCATTTTAGCCAAAAGAATGCAGACAAGAGGGATTGTCAGCCATCATAGTTTCACTGTAATGAAGCTTTACATTAGCGTGTTAATAGCCCTGCTGAGAAGGGCTTGGGGTTACAGAAGATACTAGCTTGAATGAGCCAACAGTACCTCCATCATAACTAAGGCCAAACCATATACTGGGCTGCATTAGGAAGAACGAGGGCAGCAGCCCAGGAGAGTTGCTGTCCCCCTCTACTCAACACGGGTGATGCAGCACCTGCACCACAGCATACTGTTTGGGGCATCCCAGTTGAAGGAGATGGTGAAAGACCTGGAGGGACTCCAATGGAGGAAAGCTTCAAGGAGGTGAGCTTGCTTAGTCTCAGAAAGAAAAGGCTAAGATATTATCCAATAACTGGCTACAGCTCCCTGAAGGAGAGCTACAAAGATAATGAAATCAAACTCTTCTCAGTAGCAACAGACTATCACAAGGGGAAAACCGCCCTTGGAGGTTCAAGTTGGACATAAGGAAATCCTTCTTCTCCCAGAGGGTGGTGCAGTCCCAGAGAGGGTCAGAAGTCTCCATCTTTGGGGTTTCAAGACCTCATCTAGTGCTGGCAATAGTCCCGCTTTGAGGGGTTAGTTAAACCAGATGCCTCCAGAGATGCCCTGCAACCAGCGTTTCTTCAGCTGCTGTGAAGGGACAAACAGAAGAGGCTCAGTGTAGTTGTTTGCATGCAACATAAGAAAGAATTGCTCATGAGAACAGTCTTCACAGGGGAGGATCCAGCTCAGAGAGAGGATATACCTTGGAAAGAAAGAGTCAGAGGAGCAGAAAGGGAGGCAACAAGAACAGCATCATCAAAGAAATACTGTCCACAAAGATGGACCATAAGCAACAGTCTCTGAGGAACAGCAAAGATGGGGTTTTAAGAGCCACTGTATCCAGTCAGCAGCAGGCTCATAGCTCTGCTGGGACCAAAATGGTGCTTTCATCTCTTTTGCACCCCATCCAGCTGGGAACTTTCCCCTAACAACTGCCATGTTTTAATGGAGCCCACGCATCTGTGCTGGGAAGGGAAAAGGGCCAGGTTCAGCCTGAATGTACCCAGTGGAAATTGTTTCCTCTCTTTCTGGAATCAGCAATGGCTGTAATTAAAACCTCGCCCCATGTTATCATCCTCCCTCCCAGCCTTTCCACAGTATTTCAGGCTGTTTTTAAGAAATCCTGCTGTTTCCCTCAATCTCTGGTGTCAGCGCATGGAGCAGGGGTCTAATTGGGGTTATGGCACACACAAAGCACTGGCCTATTTTCAACATTGAATGGCAGTGCTTGAATAGACAGACATAGCCCTGCTATTTTGCATCCAGAGAGCCTCTCCTGTGGCCACTACGCTCGACAAGAGGGTTTGCTTTTCCAGCCCTGCAAATCCAGCAGAGCTTCCAACACCCTGTGCGCTCTGGGTTGCACGGCAAGAGAAGCAAGGGGCTTTGGACTGCCTGTGACGCGTAGGGCCTTTTAAAGCCCAGGTACCTCTCGCATGCAGAGGAGACATGTGCACCTCCTCCCATTCCTGCAGGAGGATTCGGGGACCCAAAACTTTGCCACATCAGAGCTGCAACAACCATTCATAGCATTCCCAGGGCTTTATTTTATCTCTGCGTGATTTAGCAGTCCTCCTCAATTCTGAATTAACAAGAACTTGCCTTTGCACTGGAATGGCCTGGGGCATTCCTATCCTTCACTGAAGCTATAAAACAAAAAAGGAGTTCCAAGACAGCCAAAAAAATAGAGCTACTGCTGCCTTGACCAGGAAGGAATATAATATTGTCACTAAACTTTCAGGGAGTTTTATCTGCATGCCAGACTCTCCCTGTTGATCACATGGCACCTGTGGCAAGCCTTACTGCCATCAAACCAAGGACGCTACAGGAACACAAGGGCTGGATTTGGAAAGAAAGATAGTATCATCTTTATGCTCCTACTATGAATAGGAAAAGCAATAGCGATGGATTTCAGTTGCCTGGGAGCGTACGTGCAAACAAAGAAAAATGATGTTTGCAAGAACAAGGGAAGGGACAAAAAGTTCATCTGAACTGACTTGAGCTGGGACTCGTTTACTTCTCCCTCCTTGGCCAATAACCTAAAAACACATGCAGATAAATAGCTAAGAGCAACCCACTAAACCTCACACAGGTTCTTCCTCAGCATGCAGAGACACTTGCACCCGAGACATGAGCTGCTACTGCCACCGCAGGAGCCCACGAGTTCTAGATATCCCACAAGGTTGTTGAGAGCATCCCAAAAACCACAAGGTCCGCTCCAAAGTCAACAGCATCCAGCAGACCATAATGCAACTGTCTTTTCTCAGTTTATTTGACTGGTACCCCCCTAACAAGACACCTCCGAGTGCTACACTAGCTTGATCACTGAGCAAAGTGCCACCAACTTTGGCATGCACAGAGTAAACCAGTCTCGTATTAGTCACTCCTGGAAGGAGACAGCTCACATCATTAAGTTACTAAACACTCTGCCTCGCACAGCTTCAGCATCTAAAGCAGGTAGTTCATTTAAAGGACCAGCCACCCACTGCGTTTTAAAATACTGTTTGCATATTATCTTTGACAGGAAGACTATGTCAAAGTGGTTGGGGTAGAACAGAGTCCAAGGTACTGTCAAAATGTTTTAGGATGTTGATGAGGTAGTAAAAGGAAGGACGATTTCCAGCACTGGGGGAGGGGGGGCTGGCAACCTCCCAAACTGCCCAGCATATCCCATTGGAAAACTTGTTTTCAGCTCCTTCCAGCATTGCTAAATTTTCCACACCCATGTCTGCTTCAGGCTGAACTTTTTCTTTTATATTTTGCGGAAAGTTTCAGCCAAATCGCTCAGCCATTTCCGAAAACAGCCAACTATAGAAACAAACAGAAAAACCCCAAAAGGCTTTTACATGATTTCAGTTCCACCTTTGTTTTCACATGCTGTTTACCAGGGAGCACCTGCCCGGAGCTCCATTATGGCCAAGCAACAGCGATGCGAGGCCGTATTACATCTACCAGCGCAGACAGAAGAAGCTCTCATTAAGCCTCGCTTTCCATTTACTATCATTAACAAACACATCAGAAGGACCCAGATGCATCCAACCTGCTTTGAACGAGGTTTTTAAGAGGCACATGACCGCAGCCAAACTCGGTAAGCGCTTGCCACTCCGCTCATCTTGTGGCAACATGGATCTCTACTCACCAGTTGATTTCATTGTAGTCGTTATGAACTTCCCACCAGAAGTAAAACCAGACCAGCGTCAGGAAGAAGGAGGCGGCGAGGATTAGGAACCAGAGGCGCTCCCACTGCAGAGAGAAAGAAAATCAGCTTTAACACTACTGTCTCTCAAGACCAACTCCCCATCCAGGCCCACAACTCGCTTAAACGCAGCTGAGAACGGCACGGATGAACTAGACACTTCCAATGGGCATAGACCTCTATCTTGGCTGCAACAAGCTTTCCAGGTTTCCAGCCTACGTTACAGGCTATATCGGACCAAATATGTGATATAAACAGCACCAAGAGCCTCAATTTAATTAGGTCAGATCTGTCCTTCCACAGATTTAGACAGATACCAAAAGCCTGTGCAGACACGGCCTAACGCTCTGACTATTTTTGAGACGCGGGGACACGAGGAACTGCCCTCAGCACAGCAGAGGCGTCAGCAACGACAGCTGAACTCGCCTAGCTGTTAAAAACCGCTCGGCTCTGCTAGCTGGGCGAAGATCACACCTCCTCTTCTCTCTCAAGACTCCTCGTCTCAGCACAGCGAGGGATGGGGGGAAATGGCCTTTTCCCAGCGGGAGCTGGGGGATGTAGGTCCTGTCCCAGCCCGGCCTCACCTGGGTCACTTCCCACCTGGCCGCATCTTGCGTAGGGCAGCGTTTCTCCAGCTTTCAGGGCACATGGAGTAAGACAGCCTTTCCAGGTGTGGAGGTGCATTTTTGTTTACGTGGGTTTTGTTTTCTTTTGGGGAAGGTTTTTTTTGTTGTTGTTGTTTTGGGTTTTTTTTTTTTGAGGCAATCATTTAAACAATGCTTCCATTCACATGCAAGAGATGTGGCACGGCACCTTACGCTCCCATGGGTTCAGCCTGAATAACTGAGCCACTATCAGATCTCAAGGACTCCACAGAGCAGGTCAGAGATGCTCAAAAGGGAACTCGCAACAGCAGATACTACTATATAGACATATAAACCCCTCCCAGGGTGCTCAGATGCTGCAGAGCCAAAGCCTGCATCTGCAAAATTTGTTTCCCCCCCCACACACACACGTAAGTCTTTTGCAGGTTACATGGCAGAAGGAAAGATCACACGAGGCTTGGATGAACGAGGTTTGCATTGACGCTCAGTTTTGATGAATGTTTCAGTGACACTCAGTTTTGATGAATGCTTCAAATAATACCAGGGAAAAAAAAAAAAAAAAACCACAAACACAAACACCCCCACACCCACTAAAGCAGCTGTTCAGTGCCCCACTCCGATAGCACGGCTAAAATCCTAAATCACGATGACACCCACAGAAGAGATAATGTCACAAGAAAGCTGTCTATAACCAACACCCTTTCCATGTGTTCCTTGTGGGTTTTGCTCTGCACGCGCACATGCTTCTGCTTCAAATAGCATCCAGTGTTCTTGGAACAAAACACTAAAATAAATTAGTAATGGAAAAATATTCAAATGAATCCTCTCTTTCCAGACTGAAGAAGGGATGAAAAGAGAGAGAGAGAGAGAGAGCGCGCGCGCACAAGCACACGCAACTCTACTACTGTAATTTCTTTCCAAACCCTGGACACACCATTAATCTCTTTTGAAAACACCCTCTTTTCTAGTGAAGTGCTACCTGGCTTTTCCAATTACACAAAACAATATAACGAGTACCAACACTATTTTGGTGATATATAAAAAACAGGACTACTCTCTGCCTTCCCTTTTCCATCTCAAGGGCTGAAACTACTTATTTAACTATGTATTGACTATGTTTCATCATGAATCACCCTGGATACCAATCTTGTGATATAGCTCTTCCCTTTAAAGTCCAGGTCATAAACAGGGCCAAAAAATATCTGCAATAAAAAGGGAAAGAATTATTTCATTCCTGTCCTGCTGCGCCAAAAGTGATCTCTTCTGTTAGAAATTCCTGGTTCTTGGCTCAAACGGTTCTTCAAGACAGCTCAAGTTTGTTAACCAGCTTCTATCAAATCTCAGTGGAGCCAGATGCTTAATTCCTGCGAGCAGCTTTGTGGCCTAGATAAATGGCACAAGAGCAGTAAGGAGGAGATTTTTAGGGACTTTACTATGCAGCTACCGAGTATAATCAAAGCCACGTGGCTAAAGTGCTCTGCCATGAATTTGCAGACCATTTTCTCTCCCCTTCATGCACGCACCATGAGAGTTGCTACGCTGGACACAGATCTGCATCAAAACCACATAGCGAGCAGTCAAAACTCGCACAGCTTGGCTCGCCGAAGGAAAGCGCAGAGGCTGGAGCGCTGTGCACCATCTCCACTGAAATGGGCGTTTCACCCCCTTTTCTCAAAGGCGACAGTCAAAGCAGCCACAAGTCCACCACCATGGCGTACCCAAGGTGACCCCTTCCTCACACACACACACAGATACATGTATATATGTGTGTCTATACATATATATATTTTTTTCCTCCATTCACATGGAAGTAGCACAGCTTGTGTGAATCCCTGGGGTTTGGGCTCATCCCTTGAGGGTGCTCTTCCCAGATATACTTGCCTGGCTGACTTTGTGAAAACCTACTCACACTCTCCATGATGTGTTTTTGTGACTTAAAGCATAGTTCTGGATGGGCTTCCAGAAGAACTATTACGTCTCCCCAGCACTGCCAATGCAATTCAGCATCAACCAAGCCAAAGCCTGACATACAGGCACAATATCCTGGATCGAGTCTGGGTCCCGCACAACCTTCCTCCATCAGCCCCTTGGCAGGAGAGCATTTTGGCCCCTCGTTTGCAAGCTCATGCAAACACGCCACAGTTTTCACCCTACTGTAAAGCAACAGCTTCTAGCCTCAACTGCTAAAAATACCAAAGACTTGAAAATTGTGTCATTTCGATCACTCAACACAGCCACAAGTAGGTGGAGGAAACGGTACCACTTCACCTACAGAAACTCAAGAGAAGATATTTGGAAAACATCCATATTTTCAGCTCCGCAGGACTTTAGAAGAATGTCATCACTGAACATTTTAACAGTTCTTCTAGAAAACTTTTTTCCCCTCCTTCCCTTTAGGGCTTCTCCTTCTTCCCACTCATTTGCACTCTGGGACAGGATGGATGTCCTTGCTATTTATCAATTACTGAAAGCTTCTCAAAAATGGTCTGCTCACCCAGCACTCAGTAGGGTCTTCCAGAGAAGCCCTACAAAGGGCATCCGCGTTAGCACCTTCATTCCTATAGGGATGTGTTTTGGAAGTAGCTCACCCTTTTGCCCTGTTTATTGTGCTCTGATACACACTGTAGAATGTTTTTTGGTGAAGCTAAACCAGGCGATGTGCTCCAGGAGGTAACCGAATGCGCTTCAACCTCCAACAGGCACTCAGTCAGCAGGACTGGACTAGAGCTAGTCCTAAGTGATCGCACCACCACCACCTCCAGCACTCTCGGAGGATGGACATCAGGACCTCAGCACCAGCTATCTCCTTCTAAAGACTTTCTCCTCTTGGGCCACACTACTTGCTAAAGCAGATGCAGGTAGGGTGTCTTGTTGAACGGCACAAAACAGGATTAGTTTCATCATACCAATATTTAATTTTAAAATAAAGTAATAAATGAAGAGTCAGCCTTTTCCTCCACCTAAGCACAGCTCTCTGGGAAGTCATTTTGGTGCATATAGAAATGGATGTCTTGGCCACATCAATCTCCCCAATTTGAGCACTCCAGAAGAAATTTGCCATGACCCACCACGTCCACGTAACCTCCCTGTGACTTCCATGGCTCCCACCATACTCTGGTCAATGCTATTAACAGCTAAACACGCAGCGCTAGACAGATGGATCAACACAGGAAATACGGAGCGGAGCAGATGAGACCACTCTGACAACTAACACAGGAAACTTGGCACAGTGCCTCCAAGTGACCAACACACCTAACACATCTTGGATAAACCTTCTTAGTCTGGGATGAATTTATTGGCCAGGCAGGCATTAAGCCTCACAAAACTCATTTTGCCACGGGGCAAAGCAAGAGAGAAGAAATAGCTTAAAAGTAATTACTGAAAGAACAAGGAGATGCTAAGCTGCACGTGGAAGCTTGACTCCTAGGTCCTTCCTTTAGCCACACAACCACCTCCCTTCTTCTTGGCTCCTGCCTAGAGAGGCCATGTACCAGGTGCTCAATTAATTAAAAAAAAAATCCCAATTTGTACATGAACTAAACCTTTCAAAGCACTCCCCTCAAGATTGCCACAGGCCAAAGAAGGGTGGAAAGTCTCACTTAAAGTAAGAGAGTAAGGGAAGTGGCTTTGAAGTGAGAATATTGAAAAGGTCAGACATAGGCCTAAATTTCTGAACTTCTGCAGAAGCACTTTCAAAAACCCGCCTCGCACATACCACGGCACTTGTGATCTCATGTCTACTGTGGAGCCATTTCAAGCAATGGGAATATGGTTTCTTATTCCAAGGGTGTCTACAGGCCTAATCAGAAGAGCCCCAAAAGGAAACTACAGTCAGATATGTTACGAAGTGGCTGTTACACTTTTAGTTTGCCAGTGATTTTTAATCATAGAATTCTTAAAAAAAAAAGAAAATTCCATTCTCTGCTATTTTGTGCATCTCCAACCTGCACCCCACATCAGGTGGGGGCATTACCACTCCCAACGTGAGGGAACATCGGGGGGAAAAAAAAAAAGGAATTGCCACAGAAAAGGCCAGTTCATGATTCAAACATGAAGCTGACTCATGCGTTTTACCTGCTCCTGTGCTTCAGGTTTTACTCTAACTTGTTAAAAACAACCCTGAACATGATATCGAAAAGCACAGAATAGATTTTCCAGCCCTGAGATTACTTTTGGATAAACGAAACATGCGTCACACTTCTGCTGCAACCCTCCAAAGCGTACCAAAGTCACAGCATGATTTACCACCCAGCACCAGTAGAGCAGGAAAGCAGACAGGCTCAGGAAGATTATTTTATTTTCTATGTGATCTGTCGGAGATATGATGTTCATCTGCCCATTTCTCATGCACACACACTCCTACCTGCCCCTCCCACGACACTATTTCAGTTTAGTCAGTCCTGTTATATTAGTAGAAATGAAATTTCTCACCCATTTCTACA